ATTTATATAAATCTTACTTATATGAATCTTACTTATATGTCTCTCCATGTCACTGGGTAAATTTTCTAATTCCTTTCACCTATAATGTTCCTTAATACATCTAACACACCAACCTTATTCTTATGTGATATGTCTCTTCTTTTATACAGTTATATAAAGTTGGAAATGTTAAAGGATTTGTGGAGCACATTACAACCGCAATTGTTGTGAATACTGAGTTGATTTTACTGTCAATAATAAATAATAAGCATTGGACATTATTAGTTGGGGCAATAAAGGAGCGTAGATGGAGATTTTACGACTCCATACTAAACAGAATGCATATGAATATCACCGACGCCGTTGTAAGTAATTGTGTAGACTACTGAGTTGATTTTACGACTCATACTTTTCTTCAAATAATTGTGTACCGATACATATGGATCATTGCAAGGCAATCAGTTCTTATTTCTGCTATTCTATATTTAACCGTTTCTGTAATCTTCAGCTCTTTCTTGAAACCTGTTTTTTCACATATAAAGTCTTTCAGTAATATTGCAAAAAAATAAAGTTAATTGAAAAGAGTACTTGGAATGACAGAAGTCTATGCCACTATTTAGAGCTGAAATGAGATACGAGATATGCAAATTTGCTTTGTCAAGAACATGATCACAGGTTTATGTGTATTATCATTTAACCCTTTAGTCACCCAAGAAATCATCATTTTTAGCTAAAGTTATTCAGGAATGACATAGTTTTTCTTTGTTTATAATGTAGATTCAGGTTACAAGGAAAATCATCATTTTGAAAATACTGATTCCTTTTTAAAGCCAGTATAATGCAGATTCAGGTTTCATCAAAGCCAGTATCATTATCTGTACACTCTTAAATACATGCACTGTGTAGTTCCTTTTTAATAGTAACACTTCCCTGGAGAATCATGCTTTTAATACCTTCCATTTTGAGATTCTGAAGCTTTCGCTGATTTCCATTGTTTTCAATAATCGCATGTGATACGTGGCTATGATTTTGAGAACTATGCCAGAAGAGAGATTGTGAATTGGCGTTGGCATAACCTGTTGAGTTCTGCTTCAAAAGTCAGCCTTTGGACTTAAAGTAAGACTATATCAGATTTTTTTTGTTGAACTATTATTTAAAATTATAGCATTTATAAACTTTAGTGGAGGATCAATTTTTCTAGTGATGAACTATTCTAATTTCTTGATTTGTGCAGGACCAACAACAGAATTTAAATAACGCATGCTTCGGGGATTCATATTTATTGTTGGGGGAGCAACAGTGATGATTATATACGCTGATTTGATCTTACTAACTTCATATTTTTTAGAGGAGCTCATTGTTGATGGATAGTTTTAGATTCTTTTTTTAACAATGTATTATACGTTTTATTTTTTATACCTTTAAATGTATTCTTTGGTTTGGACATATGACACATGTATTTTGGGTGTTATGTTCGGCTGTGAATAAAGTATATATTCTATCTTAATTTTTTGTTGAAATGTCTATAGATTCTGTCTAAAACGATGACATTATTGTTGAGCAAGAGCATGGATAGTAAATTCCATTTAATGTTAAAACGATGACATTATTGTTGAGCAAGAGCAGAAAATGATTGAATTATTAGAAGCACGGATAGTAAATTCCATTTAATGTTAAAACGATGACATTATCGTTGAGCAAGAGCAAAAAATAAAATCTGTTCTCAAGATTGGGTTAGATTAGAAATTATTTGAGATAGGGTGAGGTTTCAAACTGTATTCTTATTTATAAATCCACCCTGAATTTCTTTTTCATTGTTCAAACTGTAGTCTTATTGACTGTTTTGATTGATTTAAATTGACATAGGAAACAAAACTTTTTGTTGGCATTTGAAGAAACAAGAAATCATGTTTACAGAGTCTGTTACAAGCCTTTCGGCACGTCTTCTTACATAAGTTTAATACATTTTGAACGTCTCGAAATTCTGATTACAGAGTTGAGTAGGAGGCCATGTCTGCTTACATAATGTTGTTACAAAAACTTATTACAGAACTTTTTATTTCAAAATTTGATTATAAAGGTCAGTTAAGAAGCCAAAATCTGATTACAAATCTAAGTACAAAACCAAAATTTTATTTCAAAAATTATGAATTTCTTCAACAAACTAAATCTGTCAACAGCTTTTACAGAAATTCACACCATGAAGGCATTGTTGTCCCATCAATTGACTCCGTCATCATGACAGTGTAGGATTCTCTATTTCATGGAGCAAAGGAATTCTGTAATGGATAACAATTTATTAGTGAAAACTTGAAACCACCCTAAACAACATATGAAATCGAACAAATCAACATTAAATTTTTACCTGTGTTAGGAAATCAGGAAGTGAGCACATGAGTGAATGACACTGTGATGATTCTGGTTTTTCGGTTGTTAACACATTTTTTTGTTTTCCTATGTATACAGTATTTATGGCTGAAAATTAATGGTTTATTGAAACATAAGAAAAGGCGTTAGAGTTTTCGAATGTACCTTTTGATCTTTTATTTTTCTCTTAATACCCTTTTAGTCTCGCGTTAGATATACCTTTCAGGCGCATTTTGGCAGGATCATTCAGATTTGATCCATTGTTGACAGGCTTTTTATTTTTCTTTTGTTCGCTTCTAGCTCTAGAATATTTACCAATCAATATGTCATCAATATCCAATGACACTTTTTTCATTGACTCCCTCATGCGCTGCTCAGCTTCTGGATTGCCCTTTGCTTTTTGGGTGCACTGATAAGCTGCTTTCTGCATGTGTGCTTGAAAAATTAGGTCGCCTTTAATATCATGCGAGGATTTTGACTGTTGCAGATGCATGTACCCAGAACTGTTATATACATTTCTTTTTGCATTTTCAGACCATCTCAATAATAGATATTTAACAGGTATCTTCTTAATATGTAGAAAATTTAGGACTCTTAGAGAGTGTAAACATTGTAGCCCCATCATTTCGAACTTCCTGCAGCTGCACTTTATATCCAAACTCAAACTGTCGAAATGAAGAACCCAAGTAGTGTTGAACATGTGATCATCCCAATTCTTAATGAAAAACTCATTTTCATTGTTTGTAGAGGCATGTAATTGAAGATCACAGGACCCGTGTATAAATTCTTCCTCAAACATTGTGTACAGCTTCCTTGAGTAAAATGCAGTTGTCTGCCTTAGTATTGGGCTGCTCTTCGCGACAGGAGTAATCATAGATTGATCACATTTGAAATGTCCTTTCGTCTCCATGTTCTCATTACATTTTCAATGCCCAAGAAACAATCTGTAATAGAATTTGTAGGTTTTGAGACACCATGACATATGTTATTAGTTGACTCACTCCTCTGTGTCGATAAAATTCTCATTCAAAATACATCCTTATTAAAAGCTGTAGACCACTTATGTCTAATCTTGTACATATCATATAACCAAATATTATCTTGCAGATTATTTGTCTCAATTATCACCCTCCATATATCATCAAATTCCTCTTCAGACTGACATTTGCTCAAGCATTTATAAAAAATGTTATTGATTGTCGTATTTCGCACGCCGCAATGAACCTTTGTAGGCAATTTCTTGTATATGTGCCGCTGACATAATCTATGTCGTGTATTTGGTAAAATTTCTGCTATTGCTCTAATCATAGTCTGATCCTGATCAGTGTAGATTGTTATTGAATGATTATCACCCATGATACGGATGAAAGTTTTAAAAAGCCATTTGAACGAGTTTATCGTTTCCTCTGACAATAATCTGACTCCAAATAGAACATTCTGCCAATTGTAGTTAACACCTACAATAGGAGCACAACATAGCTTATATTTATTTAACTTATAGCTCGTATCAAATATAATCACATCTCCAAAGCAGTCATAATCAAGTCTGGATGTCCCGTCGCTCAAAAAAAAAAATCATCAGTCTGTCGCTCACATCAGTTTCAAAATCTCATTCAAACATGCTTACCTCAGCATGTCTCTCTGCAAAAAACTGCAATAAAGCATTCGCATCACCATTTTCAATTCTACATCTCTTCTCCCTCTGAATGAAATTGAAAGCATCTGTCTTTGTGCATTCCAAGTTCTCTACACCCCCAACTTCTTGGGCTAGGAAGTTAAAAACGTCTTTTGGTCTAATCCCAGACTGTGTCATGGATCTAAGCACATCTGCATTTACTTCACTTATCTTTCTGTTGTAACGCAACAAGTGTTTGTCACCGGGGTTCGCTAATGAGTGGTTATGCGATTCAATTAATTTTTTAACTGTCCAATTGCCTTTCTCATCAACTCCGCATCAGATCATTGCAGGAATACCAGTTCTTGTTTCTGCTCTTTTATATTTAACAGTTTCTGTAATCTTGAGTTCTTTCTTGAAACCTGCTTTTCCACATACGAAGTCATTCGTATTGATATTTCTGGAGTTAGTCCAAAACGTAGTGTGATCCATACGAATACTGAATCCAATATGATGAGCGTAAGCACAATATACTTCATAAGCTTCTTTCTCATTGTGGACCAAGGTTTCCAGTAATATGTTTGTTCTTTGCTCGGTACAACTAGCATTGCTCTCACCAATCTGCAAGCAAGAGAATAAAATGTTAGACTCAATATAAAGCTCAAAAAACATCCCTAAACTTCATAAAGACACCTCAAAATAAAAAATCTTCAACTAACCTAAAATCATATACCTCTAAAAAACATGCGCCTCCAAATACTTTAATATTTTTAATTATCTACAAACATACGCCTCCAAAAATTTGAGTTTAATGAAAGATATATTAATTACTTCAATGTTTACTTCACTGTTTTTATTAGACATAATATCATGCAACTATGCAAACATAACACAACATACATACAAAAAACAGATATATCCTAAATACAAGAAAATCATAACAGCAAAGAACATAAAAGAAAACCCTAAACTAATTATTATAATAACACATCTCCAAAAACATGCCACCATTTTAAATTTCACTTCTTCTGTCCTGTCAGGATAACGCTTATCTTCTCCTTCTGCGTCATGCACTGCGTCGAACATAAACTGACACTCTCTGTAGTCGTACTCCATCTTCAAGTTCAAGAGGTCCACCTGCCGGAAGCTGCCGCTGCAGGAGAGAATGGTCAGAGACAATGAAACAGTAAACCTAGCTGCTTAAATATCGTGCTTCGCTCTCACCAATTTAAATCATGTACAGCATAGCTACATTCAGGGTACACGTGCGGTTCCAATTGAACGGGCATAATCCTCCGTTACATGGCAGTTACAACCTGTGTACAATCTCTAATCTATGGGGTTACAAGCGTTGTTCCGCTATACGGGCTTGAAAATCGATTATATGACGGTTATAATCGAGTTACAACCATAGTATAAATCTTCTTCCGCAGCGACGACATTAAATCGAAGTTTCATTCACGTTATACCTGCGGTATAACGGGAAGATTACAATCAGGTTACAATAACACGGTTACAAGCGCGTTACATAAGTCTTTACCGCAAGTCTTTACCGCGGAATGCGGAAGGTATGCTCATGTATAGCACGGTTATAAGCGCATTACATGAAAGTTTTACCGCGGAAGGTATATCTTGAGTATAGTCCGGTTACAAACACATTACATGGTCCTGTACCGCGAAAGGTACATGGCTAGTATAGTGCGGTTACAATTGGGTTACTACAGGCCAACCGCGGGATATATATGGGAAGGGTGTGTCGGAGTTACAGATCATGGTACAAACGCGTTAAACCACAGGCCGGGTAACGCGTCACGCGCATAATTATTTTGATTTATTTTACTAATTTAATGCAGTGGGCCCACCGTAAATTACGTGGCGTCTTCCGATTGGATATAGCACGCATCGCTGCGTGCGTCTTACATAGGAAAATTTTTTCCACAAAACTCACACCAAAACAAATACATAAAAGATCAAAACGAAACCCCCAACATCAGACTGCAAAAGAACCCATCAAACATCAAAAAACATAAAATCACAAACAAAAAAAAACACTAATTCTTCTCAAGCCATTACAAACTTCAATCACGCCCCTCAAAAAAAAAAAAAAAAACAAAAAAAAAACAAAAAAAGAGACCTATTAGCAAACATTAACTGGCAAGTCCAACAAGAAACCAAAACAGCAAATGCATGAAGAATCGAAAATCAAGATACGATTGGCGGAGCCAAGCATGTTTGCAGATTCATCCTTCCACGTTGACAGATGACGTATCTGACTATCTGTACCAGAAGCAAGGCGAGAGAATGCGGGCACCAATAAGCGTCCGGTACTCCACTGCTATATAAACAGAGAAGAGCGAGGGTTTCCTTGCGGGATGTTAGCTTCAAAACAACGCTGCATAAAATAAATCGCTTAAATCAAAAAATAAAAAAAATAAATCTTGACGCGTAATTGAACGATCGAAAATGTCGAGCGTCTTTATCACGCTTACTTAATTGGACACAGGAGAGAACACTGGATCGAGAGGCGAACAGATCTCCGGCGATCGCCGGAGAATCGTAGGGCCTTCCAACGAAGAGAGATAAATAACAGAAAAATACTTCCAATGCGGCAATCTTCGAGGTTTTTCCGTTTTTTTTCTGGATCCTAAATACCTCCGCGTTGATGACGTGGCAAATGAAGTACCTAGGCGGTATTTTAAACTATCAAATCAATGCATTACACGTGTCGCGATTAAATTATTATTAATTTGAAAAAAATAAAAATATGTATTGAATTTCTATAATGACCTTTGATATTAAAAATAAGATGGAACATGATCTTTGATTTGAGTGCCCTATACTATATTTTAATTGATTGTTATCTCGTTCAATCCAGCTCACCTGTCTAAGCGGCTGAATTGAGCATGTCTGTCGTAAAAGTTGGTCCAATTTATGTCGTCCTTCTTGAGGAGATTACTTGGACAAATCACAGTGAAAATAGCAATTTGAGAAAGCCACAAAGGCCAACCAAGGCTCCCGTTAATATCTTCTTTAAAGATGCTTCCTAATACTAGGATTTAGTATCATCGCCCAAGCATAAGGAATAGCCGTCGTATTGGTAATGTATGGCATTAGTCAGCAATGTCTTGTACTCTAATCATTTTATATTAATTTCTATTTTATGTATAAAAGTGCGTCCAAGGAAAGAGGGAACTCTCTCTCTCTCTCTAAAAGTAAATAAATTGAAGAAACATCTAAGGAGTCGCTTTCCTTCGATTTTACTTGAGATCTAACTTGAGATTATCCCCAAGACTCATTCCAAGAATCCCCTCCAGTTTACTTTTTATTTATAGCACTCTTCCTACAAAGTTGGGTCTTTCGTCAAGTTGTATGTACCTACAAATAATATAAGACCTCGTGTCCTAAAATATATATATATATATATATATA